TAAGTTAGTACACAGATTCAGTATCTGGTTTTTTACCAAGTTTGTAAGCAGCCAAATAAGTTAGTCACAGGTCAGTATCTGGCTTACCAAGTTTAAGCAGCCAAATAAGTTAGTCACAGATCAGTATCTGGTTTTTTACCAAGTTTGTAAGCAACCAAATAAGTTAGTCACAGGTCAGTATCTGGTTTAACAAGTTTGTAAGCAGCCAAATAAGTTTGTCACAGATCAGTATCTGGCTTACCAAGTTTAAGCAGCCAAATAAGTTTGTCACAGGTCAGTATCTAGTTTATCAAGTTTGTAAGCAGCCAAATAAGTTTGTCATAGATCAGTATAGTTCAAGGCTAGATGAATATCCCTCATAACATGAATACTTTACTAGACTATGAAGCTGTCTAAGATATTTTATTACACTGCTTCTATCTGTGAACCTCTATAGGTTCACGTCCTCTCATATTCAAGGCCCTATGTGTGTCTTTCTTTCACTATTTTGGCCTCAAGGTTATGTTATATTGTGTTAACTTCTCAATTCTTTCTCCTGAGGTTTAGTTATGTTTTTAAAATCTACATTTTGTAACTTAAAATGAAATTCACATACTTACCTACATGTTGATTAATATATTTTCTACAACTTCAGATCGTGTGTCAGATAGAAAAAGTCTGAAGAAATTATTCTGACCATGCTTTCATATTTTAATTCATACTCACAAATTCTCTATTTTCACTTATCAGTGACAAACAAAGCTTATTACATTATAAAGTTTAGACTGATGGACAGTTCTGTATTAGGGATTAAAGAATCTCAATAAAATGGTGTATGTTGGAAAAGTTTCTTTTGATAGAGAGAAATCTCAAATAACTTTAAAAACTTTGATTTATAATGTAATGAAATGGCATGAGTAGTCAAATGTTTATTTAAGTTATAAAAATGTGTATTTGTTAAATTGTGTAAATTTAAGTGCTTAATCAAGGCTGGACATAGTCTAGTATTTAGTGTTATATATGTCATGATATTTGAATACAATGAAACTATGATTTTATTTATAGGCACCTCCCTCAAAGAATGTTATTAATGCACTGGAGTTACTCTATGCTCTTGAGGGTAAGTAAACCTTTTAAGGCTGTTTTGCTAGAGTAATAAGAGTGATTCATTAGGTTATTAATGAAAACTCAAAGAAATGCTGAAATTACATTTTAACAATTAAAATTTTACAACTTGTAAAACTGACTTTTATGTTTTCCTTCTTATGCCATTTAAGCAAACTTATCCATGGATTTTAAATTGATATTAATTGTAGAAGTTATATTTATAATCATTTGCAAAAATACGGCGTATTAAGTGATAAAAATTTCCATTTCTAATAGTTGATTTCAGGATTATCATTCAAATAGAAAAATGAAGCCTGAGCCAATATTAAGGATTTTACAATTGACCAATTTTGATTTCATACATGTATTATACGGAACCAAAACTTAATATAAACTATGAGCTTTGCGTAATATCTTGCTCCCAGCATCTCTTTATCATATGCTGTGATTTGTTCCAAAAAAATAGTAATAACTGCAAGAGTGGCTTGTGTTTATTGACTTCGGTTAAGTAACTGAAATAATGGCTGATGTTTAATAATTGGAGGAGTGACTATTAATTGCAAGAGTGGCTACAAGATGACTTATGTTTTGTAGCTCTGTGTTTTTTACATAGTAGCTACATGAGGTATTTAATTTAGTAGCTAAAACAGAATGAATTGTATTTAGTAACTGCTAGAGTGACGTATCTTCCAATATGATACCTTACTACTTCTCACATAATAGCTTTCCTCAATTTGTGCTGCCCTCTATATGCACAATTTGAGGTTCCCACCTAACATCACATGTTTAGAAATGGTATAGTTGCATTGTAGGATGCAAATGAGCATGTGACAACCCCCCACCAATAGGAGCGTGGCACACTTTCCGAGCTCAGCTGACTCCCTCTATTTTGTAGAGCACAATCATTAATTTCGAGTTGGCACTCGTGTGTAACATGTCTCTTTTTGCTTATGAACTTTTCAGATATAGGTGTTTCTCAGTGGAAGTATCTATAAAGCTATTATTTCATAAGTGTCAGTAATTTCCACTTTATCTGGTGTGAAACAACGGGATTTTACTTATGCTGGCCTTTTCTGTGGTGGATGATGGAGTCTTTCATATGACCTGAGCCTTCTTTTATCCCTGATATACTTCTGCCTATGTATCTCATTTGATGAGATGGTGGCATGTCTCTACTCTCATTTGAATTTTGGCCATTGGTACCATGACATATTTTACCTTCAAATACATCTTTGAACTTTTGGCAGTACATCAAATTTTAGATCTTTTTTTTTATAGGATGGTTCATCAAGGCCTCATGATGATACGTACAGTCAGCTCTGCAGTTTTCTCCTTTATCAATCATCAGGGGACACTCTGTCTCGCTCTCCTTGTTTCCACGTTATCAACCCTCCTCTTCTGGGCCCATTTTGTACAAGTACATCTACAACTTGTCCTGTTCTGGGTGCTGAGTCTTGTTGTAGATTATCTCTTGAGGCCTGCAAAGATACTACTTATGGATTGGTCTCTTGTTCCTTTGGTATTCAAATGGCTGTGCTCTCATCTGGACAACCTTCTTCTAGATGTTTTTGCCACTCTTCTCAACACCCTACTTCCCCTTTTCTGGTCATCTGTTTTTCTTTCCTCAGATTTAAGTGGTGATGCATTCTGTCAGGACTGGTTTAAAGTTTTTTCTCCATGCCTACCCTCCTACTCATCTTCTCCTTTGTGTTTTCCCTCATTCAGTACACTCCATATTGAGTCCTTCTGATAATTCCATACTGGTTGGCTCAGCCATGGTTTCCTCTTGCACCTTCTCCTGTCCTCTCCTCCTCTACCTCTGTCACTCTCCCTACTCCTTCAACCTCGTTCATCACTCCGACTTCAAATGTGGGGTTTGTCTGGTCTCTTGTGAGACATTTCAGACTCTCTTTACATTTATCCTTCCTACTTTCTTGTTCAGTTCATTCTTTCTCTCTCCTTGTCTATCCATGACAAGGGCACATATTCCATAGTTGGTCTCTTCATTATGTTTTATTCCATTCCCTTCCTTCTTGCCCCAATTTTTTGAATTTTTTCATTGGCTGTTCGAACAAGGCTTATTGCTTTCAACCATGGCTGGTTACCAGGCTGATCTACCTTAAAATTTTGGGTTTTCTTATTATCATCATGTATTCTCCTCTCCAGTCTTTTCTATGCTGTTTTGTTCTTTTTGCCTCCTTTGTCCTTCCTGTTTCAAACATGAATACTGTTCTTCATGCCCTTATCCTTCCTCTCTTTGACTTATTAGTCTCTTGTTCCTTGTACCATCTTTCACTTAGGTTCTACTTCTTGCCTTTTTGCCTGTGGCCATGGAAGATATGATGTGTATGCTAATGTTGATTCTCATATTTTTTCCTTACATTTCTTTATATTATTCTCCTTCTGTTCTGAACTGTTTCTCTGTCCTATCCTCGTGGTTCATTGTTCTTTGGTCCACTCTGCTTCTTTTCATAGTTTATGGTCCCTTCTATTTAATCTTTGGAACTCCTCATCTCCCTGAGATATTTCTTTTCTCTTATTACTTTCAAAGGATGGCTACAGCAATTCATTCATTTAGCCTGTGATTCATTAGATTTAGATTCACATCAACTCTTTCAAGCCTCCTCTCACCAAATCTGATAACTTTACTCTCTCTCTGGCTCTTCACTTCTGTCATCCATTGGAGGAATTTGTGTAGGCTGGCTTGTGGACTACACCATTTACTTTTGTTGCATATTTTCATATTCTGGCTGTTTTTTCTTCCAGATATTGACTTTCTCCTGTTGCCATTCTACAAACCCCTTACTGGCTCCGAATGGGTAAATTCTTTTTTATATGTTTTACCTTTACAGTTGCCTATTTCTACATCTCTGGATCTTGCTCAGTGGTAAGTGATGCCTGTCTGGGTATACTTAGCTTTAAATCTGCATTGTGTGACTTTTAAAGGTCAGTAATGCTTACTGATGAGATGCTATGCTCCACAAGACTGATCAAAGGTTCTTTGCAGTATATTGCTTTATAAATGTCCCAGATTGTACCAACTCATGGACTATAATGAGGAAAGCAGTGTTGGGATTGCTGCCCATCCCTCCATATCTAGTTGAATAAACCAGGATTGGCCTGCTTTTCAAAATACGATTTTTCTGGTGATACATTATACAGTCATAAGGTATGGCATTCCTTCAGACTCCCCACTGCATAGTTTCTCCCCCCCCCTCTTCTAATGGAGTACAGGAGTTCTTGCCACTTACCACTTCCTAGCCATTCGGATGGTGGACCATGGAGGCTTCCACTCAGGAGAAAAATAGAGCAGTGGTGTTTTGTTGGTGTAGGTGGTGAGTACTCTCCTCCTTCTGTGAACCAGAAGGCAAATACCCGATATCCTTTGGTTTTGGACTGGAAAATCCACAATATGCAGTTCATCCCTCTGCCTGACTTTCCCCATCAGTTTCTAAGTGGTTTGGAGTTGGGTCAGCATAGAACCAGCCAACATAAGCCCTCACACAAGTGGTTGGTAGTGACCCTCCTTCTACTGGAGACTTGACGAAAAATTCCAAACACTAACTGGTTTTGGACCGAAGTTAACCAACTCCATTGAATTTTCATTTCCTACTGTTGCCGAGATGTTGAGTCTCAGGTGGCCTGATGCTGGTTGTGTACTGGGTCTATACATGTGTGCCCTGCCTGGGTTGTCAGAACAGAAGTTGCTTTTTTCTTCTGCTTCCTGGTCTTGAGGTGAAAAGACAATTGGGTCCCTCCTTCTACTGCGGACTGGAAAAACTCGTACCTGATGCCACCTGGTTTTGGACTGGAGTTGACCCACCAAATATGACCTGATGTGCCTAGCCTCTCTCTACACCATCTGGCACATCCACTTACGAGATTGGACTTGCACCTTTTCTTCCAGATTAGCGACATGTATCTTTACAGCAGGCAAAGAGTATACCCTGGTGCAGATGTGGTGAAGTCTCCCACGAGTATGACCCTATATGTTAGGGTATCACATTCCATGGTTTCTCTTAGGACACCCCCTGAAGAGTGCTCATCTTTGTAACTAGCACTGATTCCTCCATCATTTCAATGTAGGACTATAGCCGTTACTCAAGTGAAGGTAAGGTATTGTATCAGAAGTTAACATTTTAGTATAGATGGAGTCAGCTGTGCTAGGAGGGTGTGTCACACTCTTATTGGTTGAGGGATGTCACATGCTTACTTGCATGCTACAGTGCAGCTGTACCATGTGTAATCATATGATGTTAGCCTCAAGGTTAGTGACAAGTGATAATTGTGCATATAGAGAACAGAACAAATTGAGGAAAGCTATTGTGTGAGAGGAGAGAAGTATCTATCAGAAATTCAAGATTACTTAGGTTTTGTAACTGTGTTTTTTACATAGTAGCTGCATGAGTGACTTATCTTTGGTGTTACAGGGTGACTAACATTTTGTAGGTCTGTGTTTTTTACATAGTAACTGCTAGAGCGATTTTATTTAGTAACCTAAAAATAATGTGTTTATCAATTAAAATGACTCTTGTTTATTAGTAACCAAAATGGCTTATGCTTAGTTGTAAAAATTTTGTGTATGCTTTTGACTTGAATATTTGCTTATGCTCAATTGCTGAAGGAGATCTCAGCATCCATAAGAGAACGTTTATATGTGGTAGCTGCAAAGATGCTTTATGTTTATAGTAACTGCAGTTATTATTACTGCTTAGAAATTGCTAGTATGAACTTGCATCTATGTTTAGTAACTGTGAAAAAGGTCTATGATTAATATAAATCTGACTTGTATAACAACACTACAACTGATTTTATTTGTCTGTTCAGTACGGAAACATGAACCTTTTGTAATGAAGTAGTTCATTAGTCACATGTATCATAATTACTAACATCAGGAGTTGGTAAATAAACTTTAATTAACACTAAGTGAAAGGGCTATACATTCATTTGTGGAAATTGAATTTGACTGCATACACATTTAAGTATTTCACATACTGGTTAAATGTGTAAGATTGATTACATGTTATTTTTTAATTCACATACTGGTTAACTGTGTAAGATTGATTACATGTTATTTTTAATTCACATACTAGTTAAATGTGTAAGATTGATTACATGTTATTTTTTAATTCACATACTGGTTAACTGTGTAAGATTGATTACATGTTATTTTTTAATTCACATACTAGTTAAATGTGTAAGATTGATTACATGTTATTTTTTAATTCACATACTGGTTAAATGTGTAAGATTGATTACATGTTATTTTTTTAATTCACATACTGGTTAACTGTGTAAGATTGATTACATGTTATTTTTTACTCTAGACTAAGAATTTGAATGCTATAGTTTCTAATAAAAAAAATATATATTTTTTTCTTTACATTAAGCTCTTGATGACAATGGCCAATTGACCTCTCCACTAGGGTTAAGAATGTCAGAATTTCCTCTTCATCCAATGTTTGCCAAGATGCTCCTTGTATCAGGTGTGTTTATATTAGTTTGTAAAAAATCAGCCATGAAAAAATTGAAAATTAATTTCTCTTTAGTAATGATAAAGTATAATATTGTAACCCACAAAAGTTATGGTAACTTGACGACAAGGTTATATATGTATAATATTGTGACCCACAAAAGTTATGGTAACTTTACAACAAGGTTATATATGTATAATATTGCAACCTAACATGTTATGGTAACTTGATGACAAGGTTATATATGTATAATATTACAAGTTATGGTAACTTGATGACAAGGTTATATATATGTATAATATTGTAACATAAGTTATGGTAACTTGATGACAAGGTTATATACATGTATAATATTGCAACTTAACATGTTATGGTAACTTGATGACAAGGTTATATATATGTATAATATTGTAACATAAGTTATGGTAACTTGATGACAAGGTTATATATATGTATAATATTGTAACCTAACATGTTATGGTAACTTGATGACAAGGTTATCTATGTATAATATTGTAACCTAACATGTTATGGTAACTTGATGACAAGGTTATCTGTGTATAATATTGTAACCTAACATGTTATGGTAACTTGATGACAAGGTTATCTGTGTATAATATTGTAACCTAACATGTTATGATATCTTGATGACAAGGTTATATATATGTATAATATTGTAACCTAACATGTTACGGTAACTTGATGACAAGGTTATGTGTGTTTAACATTTAAACCTTTTCGCTTTAGTTTCACATATTTTGCTACTCAACTTCTCACCCAGTTGAACCTTTGTCCACTTCATTAAGGCGGTTAAACTAAAGTGGCTTATTCACTCAAACAACTTCTTTAAAGGATCTTACTGAATGTTCTTCCAAAATTTAATCAAAATTGGTTTAACTCAATAATGGGTCCAGCATATGGCCACCCCCCCAAACATGTTGCACCAGAAAGACAACTTTGCTTTATATGTGTTGAATTTTGAATGTAACTCTATAAAATGCCATGACATAGACAAAAGAGTCAGGCCCATATAAGTAGGGTTTAAACATTTCACTCAGCGTATATACAAAGCAAATTTGTCTACCTGTCTTTCTATATGACTCGTTTTAATCACCATATTATTAAAATATGGTTTCTTTTCATAAATCCATTTTTTTTACTGTTTGATGAAAATTTCAGTACATTACTTGTACTCTTAATAATATGACCCAATGTTTGTTTAGACTTCTTTGGCAAAATGTATTTAAATCTTTTGATAATATATGTGTTTTTAGGTAAGTCAAATCTTAAAATACGATAACTTCTGTATTGTTTACATCAGTGGTTCTCAAACTTTTCTGTATGAAGACCACTTTGGCAGAGCAAAAGATTCTGTGGACCACATACCAGTTCTATTCCACTTGCTTTCACTTGCCACAGCAAAAAAAAAAAAAAAATCATCAGAATTCATGGGAAGAATGGTGCTGCTTTTGTATTTTAAACCAGACCACACTTTGAAAACCACTGGTTGACATAAGTTGATTTATAAGTGTTATTGTAAGAAATAATTACTGAATTTATTAGATAGTAGCTAATGCTATAGATTATAGGTGTATGAGGAACTTCTGGTATCTTTATAACCTGTAGGTAACTTTGAATGCTCAGAAGAAGCACTCATAATTGCTGCCATGTTACAAGTTGAAAACATTTTCACCTCACCTCCAGGTCAAGGATTGCAAGCAGTAAGTTAGTTTTGACATAAATGCTAATAATTTTTGTTGCAATTAACATAGTTGTTTACTGATTTTTGTCATTTTTCTGTCAGTTTTACACCTTGTTCATATCTTAAATACGTTTAAGTCTTTGCCACTGTATGTTTGTGTAAAATAGTTTTACTTCTGTACTTTAGTTTTCCAAGAAATGTTTTAACTTTTGATATAAGTCAAAGATTAATAAAATACAGTTAACACTCCTTACACAATTTTGTAATTTGACTGACCTTGCAACCACCATTAAACTATATGTACGATAACTCTGAATTTCTCAAGTGTTTCCTTATGACTTTGGAAAGATTTTTAGTAAATATTACAAGTCTGTTGTACAAAATAAAATCAGATTTTTTTTGAATAAGTATTTTTACTAAACATTTGTCAGTGATTTTAAAATCGTTAAATGGGTCAGTAAAAATTCTTCTTTTCATATTTCAACTGAATAACTTCTAGAGCTTCCTAAATGAATATCAAAAGAATTTATTCGGTAAAACTTTATCTCTTATTTTCTGTACTCTAACACTAGCTGGAGCAAAATAATATATAGCGAGAGTTGAAAACATAAGAAATACCTTAATGTCCCCTGGTGGGACAGAGTATGTCTGTGGATTTACAACCCTACTTTAACCTTTTGTTTTCCTTATACCACAATTGTTGGAAGCATCTCAGGTTCATCACCTTCGTTGGTGACAAGATGAAACCATTGTTAACATGTACTTTGGTCTGGTTGTCGGCTTCTCGAATTTCATCGATTCCTCAGAGGGTCTTAGTTCCGCTCATATTCAAGAGTCCCAACCCGCGAAATTAGCCACTCGGACCATTGGTACCCAGAATAGATTCTGTCCATGTCTAAGAGTTCCGCTGATTGGTCAGATCTCCACCAGCAGCATTAGTGTTTATTGTATGCACTTAGGGTGTGTGGGGATTAGAAGCTGAGCATTTCTGGACATGGGGTACACTTACCCACAGATCACAGAGAACTACAGGTCCTTGAGTAAGATCTTCACTAATATTATTCACTCAGCCTGTAGGATTTCCATCTCTTGCAGAACCTCATTAATTGGAATTTAATTCTAGGGCTATCAGTGTTTGGCTGGTCTGGGGGTAGTGAGACACTTGTGCTAGTTCTTCTGGGTTTTTATTCCCATTGGTTGTTGGACCTAGGAAGACAGGAGATTAGGGTGTACCATCACCATTTTGTTTTGTCTATATCAAGGCCTCAATTCTCCAAGTTTCATAGGTTACTCATTCCTCAATTTGTGACATTTTTTACTGCGATTGTGGTTGTCCAAGTTTGTACTTGGCTCTTTTCTGCACATTGCCACAGTAGTGGTGGCCCACCACTGTAGGAATTTTTTGTGCACAAGGGTTAGGTACTGCAGTTCAGGGTGTTTACCTTTGGACTAGCATAGGCTTCACATGGGTTCTGCCAAATCGTTCAAGTTTTTTTCATGGCACATCCATTCCATAGCTCTGTGTACGCACCATTATATAAATGACTGGTTTTTGCTGGCACTGTCTTGTCTATTGTCAGAACAGCACACCCAGATTGTACTTTCAGAACCCACCAAGGCAGGCTTCATTCTGAGAGCTGAAACATCTATTTTTGCTCCAATTCAATATGTCATCAGTCTGGATATCATATATTTCATCTCTTCTCTCAGTTGGGCTCAGATGACTCACATCTGGCTTTGTGGAAACCCGACTCTTACTCATCTCTCCTTCTCCCACTGCGAGGTGGTTCTTTCTCTTTAAAGAATGTGAGCTCACTCGAATCCCTCATGCCTTTGGGATGAGTACACAAATGATCCTTTTCATGGTCTTTATGCAATTGAGGGATCACAAATATCGACTTACTGGCTTCCCCGGTTTCCATAGTGTGGATTATTCTTCTCTCTTGGGGATTGTTAAGTCAGGATGCTACTAAGATATGGGTTCCTATACTGACCCCTCATCCAAAGCTCCATCTCTTCACGAATGCCTTGCTTCAGGGATGGCATGCATGTACCAACAGTCAGGAATTCCAGGGACTACATGTGGATCATGAGGCTTCCCTACACATCGTTTTAGTCCTTCTTGCTCTTCCAAAGATTGGTCTGGGCTTATTATGGGGAAATTCATCAGGCTTCACACTGACAATTCCATGGTGGTGTCTTGTGTTTCTCATTGAGGAGGCACTTGATCCAGGGCTCCTTGTTTTTGAATCTGGGACCCATATAAATAGGGTTAAACATTTTACTCAGTGTGTGTTCCTGTAAAAGTATCACCACATGTGTCACAGTTTCCTGTCACTAGTGTCCAGAGAAACAGAAATGCTTTTATCTAAAGTATAGCTAATAAAAATAATATCATTAATACTGAAATTATTTTTAAATATTTCACTTCATCCTATGGATATGAGTGGGTCAAAGTGTGCATGTCATTACATTTTTGACATTCATAATTTAATAAAACTACTTTATTATCAATGCATGTGAATAAACTTAGCAGCAAAACATACTTTATACATATAATATTTATAATATGTAACTTTTAATTTCTTAATTACAATATGTTGATACATTGTGAATCTGTACCATTCTGAGTTGACTGACACAGTAGCATTGTGATTTCTCACATAGAGATGTTTTGTCTCTGCTTTTAAGGACTTCATACTTTTCAACCAGTTAGAAATACACACTGCAGATATTAACAAGTCGGGGTATAAAATTTTAACCTCACCTTGCTTTACTGAGATATCACTATATTTGTTCAACCCACAATGTCATGCCTTTCTCATATCCTCTGTCGTTTAACATATGTCTATATTTCTTTCTGAAATTGCTATTGGATATGTTTATAACCAATAAAAATAGCATATTCAACACAACATACATCAGATGATTGTTTTGTTTGAATGGTAAAAGCTAATAGTTCCCTGTGAGATCTTGATGTGCTTAGACTAAAGATCGGGTGTTTGATTGCTTAATTATGTTAGTTAAACATGGTTCAATAAAACGATGATATTAAATGATAGTAGATGCGACTGAGGCTATTTTGGGTAAATAACCATAAATCCTTTACAATCTAAGTCATTCTAGAAAAGAAATGTATTTTATTTCTTATTTTTCAACTTTTACCACGGTGAGTGTTAGGGTAGAGAAGATAAGACATAAAGTTTTATCAGAAAATACTTGATATTTGTTTAGGAATTTCTAGAGGTGAAAACTATAACATAAAAAGAAATACTCTGATTCTCATCATGAAAATCACCTTTATTCAAACTAACTCAGTAAATTCACAGACAATTATTTATTAGAAATAGTCTATGAAAAAATTGATTTTTTGTGTACGACAGACCTGTAATGTTTACTAAAAGTTTGACAAATTACCTGAAATGCACTTTAATTATAAATTCAGAGTTATGGTATCTATAGTTTCATGATGGTTAAAGGTTGGCCAAAATGACTGAGCCATTGTACAAAGAGTGAACCAAATGTGTATGGGGTTGGTTCATTGGACCAACCTCAGATTAATGAAGGAATCCTGATAATGATTCCTAAATTACTATGTGTACCTACATAAAATGTGGCAAGTTTTTAGTAAAATGTACAAGTTTGTTGTACACAAAAAACCTGGCTCAGTTACAAAGATATTTGTGCTCAAGATATGTTTGAGTTAAGAATAAAAATACGTTTTCCATTGTACAATATGCATATTGAACTTGCATAACCTCTAGAACTTCCAAAATATATATTTACAGTTTTTATTAGTATCCCTTTAATTATATCTGGTATTAACTCTCCCGTACCATAAACTCTTGATAAATCAGTAGTGTAGGGTAAAATGAATAGTTGATAACTCTGACATTAAGAACGTAATACCATGTTGAATGCTATTCTGTAAAAGGTCATTACATGTGCACTTTGACCCCCAACCCATGCAAATAAGTTTAACTTACTTTATGTGAATTACATATGTATGTTGTATTGACTGTGTTAGTTGTAAGCTTGTAAAAGGGGATAATTTCTGACAGCTTTGATGTTATACACTATACAATCATGTTTGTTGAAGTTTCTGATAAAAGCACATTTCAGTTAAGTTGTAGCACAGTTATTTTGATGAATTTTTAGATTGAGTGATAGTCTTCATTGACAGATGCTTACTTACAATTATGATAAAGTTTTTTGTGGAAATTTTGTTATCTGTACTTTTTATTGGAAATTTATACTGGATTAAGTAAGAAAGAATGAGTTTTTAATAACTTCCAATCTTATTATCATACTTGTTATCTTAACTTTCTTCTTCATACATTGACCATTCGTGTCTGTTTGCTTTCTTTACAATTCAGTAACATGCATGTTTTTAAATGGTTCTTATTTCTCTTAAAGTAATACGTACAGTAATTAATTGAACTACCATTAACAAATCATCAGCCTAGCCATAAACACGTTATATATTGTGAATTCCCATAAAGCCTCTCTGTATAGTGATATAAGATCATTTGTATGTATACTGGTTCAGACGTTGCAGTATTCATATAATTTATACTGATCCTTTTGTTGTTATTTTGTTTTTAGCGAAAAGCCAAATACAGGTTTTCTGTTACGGAGGGTGATCACATTACTTTGTTGAATGTGTACAATGCTTTTATAAAGGTAATAGTATATTTTATTCAAACATTTTTCATGTCTGTGTTGCAGAGAAATGTTAAAATTCCACTATTAGTTTATTATTTTAATAGTCAGATAATGATGCTGAATGGTGGTTTTCTGACATATTTTTATATTCTGTATATCAGCCACATAGTTTACATAGATTTCTGACTATGAAATACCTAAGTTTGTTTTTAATTCATAATTTCTGTATACTGTGAGCAAGTCCTATTTTCTATATTTTTCTGTTTGCCTACCAAATACAAATTTAATGATAATACTTGTGTTATACCACATTAGATTTTTAATTCAGTTTTTGTATTTATTGATTAATAGAAGAATTGATATTTTGTTTTAACAGTAAATTTCATTAATGTTTATGTTGTTGTAAACAAGTTTTTGTACTAGTAAGTATAACTTGGTGATTAACTTGATTAATGAATTAGACTAATTGTAAGCATGAACTTAGAAACCTTAATTTAATCTATCCAAAAAATGAACTGTATCCTTTACTTGTACAATGTACCGGGTTACTTCTTGACTCCAGTTTTACACATTCACACAATTATCTTATAATTCTATTTGATAAAGTACAAATCAATTTTATAATTTGTGTAGTGCATCAAACTATTATCACAGTTTGTTTAGTATAAACAGTTGCAACTACTGTAAACTATTAACTAAATGTGCATGGGGCTGGTCCATTGGATGGGACCCCCCTTTTGGGAAGGAATGTTGACTGTAATTCTGAATTTATCTGCACAAAATGTGGCAAATTTTTAGTAAAGTGTACAAGTCTGTTGCACACAAATATTCAAATGTGTTACAAAGTATTTATACTACATTAACTTCACAGATATATCTTGAGTATAAATTATGACTTGTTAGAGTCTGAGTCAGACTGCACGATATATCTGTGAAGTTAATGTCAGTCTGACTCGGACTCTAACAAGTCATAGTGCAAGGTTAATGTTCATGTGAAAAATACAAATACTTTTCTCCATTGTACACTTTGTGTATTGCATCTCTAGATCCTCTGAAATGTGTATCTACAGTTTTTATCCCTATATATTTTACGTGGTATTTACTCTTCTCTGTCACTAAATCACCAAGTTAGGGTAAAATGAATACTTAATACCATGTTGAATGACACTCTGGCATCTGCAGTTTGACCCCACCTATACATATAGGGATAACAGAACTGTCGTAATAAATGCTTTTCACATTTATGGTTATTGTGTAAATAATGAGGATATTAAAAAATATGTGCATTAAAGTATAAAATGGGTCCAAATTTAATTTCCATGAAAACATAAGCACATTAACAGTACCAGTTTGTGATGATAACAAACTTTTAACAAGTCAGATCTCTCAGTGATGTCAAATAACACCAAAGAATGTTTTACTTTTAACAAACAGAAACATTTACTCCAAAACAATCTGTCTCTCATATGTTAGCATGCATGTAGGTCTACACATGTTTAAAAATTGTTGTCATAGGCTGAGCTGTCAGGTATATAGTTGTGGTGTTGGGATGCTTATAAAGTATGTATTTTGTTGTCAAGAACATTTTTAATGCAGTATTAGGCACCTGATCACATTAACTGGCAGTAAAATTATATATATATACATGGAAGATAAGCAGTATTTGTGTGTTTGTATTGTAAATGCTGTAGTTATCTTTTTTAAATGTATATAGTTGCTATAAATCACTTAAAAGTGCATTCTTTATTGTTTTAAAATACCAAAATGTACTAAATGCACACATGTTCATGTTGCATCTATTTATTTTAAAGCCAGATAGTTTTTTGTTTGATTAGTTCTTTAGCTCATGGAAGAGTGTAACATTTGGTGGGACTACTGGTGTGTGCATGAGCCTTTGAATAACTTGATCATATGAACAATTAGAATTAAAGACAGTCCCAGAGAAGGTTGAATATTCACTTGATTCCATTATGTTACAAATGTTTTTTTCTTTTGCTCCTATCTTGTATGATTTTTTTATTGCAGAGAACACTTTTAAGAAGCTTTAAAATTTACTACAGATACTATTTTCATTAGCTTTTGTGCAGATGCACAACTTGTAAGACTTGAACTTGTACGTATACAGTCATATTCAGTACACCATGTTCCTATGGATTACTAATATTTTCGTAAGGGTTAGCAGATCTCTGTTGTGTAGGTAAATGTTTCATCTTACCATCCTAGTTTTTGTTTATAAAAATAAATTGCTTTTAACTTAGTGAATGTCAAGCTACACTAACAGACAACCAGAATTTTTCAACCAATCTGTTTCATTTCAAATTATTATATACACACATCAGTACTGTAATTTTCAACAATACACTCATTATTTATGTATATTTTAAGATAAACTTCGTGTACATTTATACACTTGCATTTCCTTTAGAGCGTGTAACAGCATCACTATAAAAATCAGGCTTTTATCAGTTAAGTAAAATTTAGTCTTGTTTTGTATGCATGATGTTTTTTCATGTTTATTTTCAACGTAACATTAGTATATTTTTAATGCACGTTAATGTTCAGTACAGTAAATCATTACCTTAAAACCTATAAACTTTAACTGAAACGTTTTTGCATAACTAACAAACTTTCTATCAGAACTAACTTCACAGTTTTAGATAAAGATTTATGGTTACATGATAAAGGCTTTCAATATAAAGTTTTTAATCACAAATTTGAAATGGAAGTAAATACAAGACCAGTTATGATATCCAATCCATAAAAAATTGAGTGATTTTTAAGTATAAACAGATGGATGTACAGCGATATTGTCACTGTATAATGTGTATATAGCTTTTTATTTCTACAGAACAAGAAATCAAATGGATAAAAAGAATGTTACATATTTACTAAACTCTTCTTGAACCCACTCTATTTTTATGGCATGATTTGTGTCACTTTTTGTACTAAATATAAAATTATTAATGAAAACAACTTTAAAGAAAAATGGAGTTAATTACTTAAAATCCACACAACTTACCAATAAATGGAACCTAATTACACAAGTAAAGGTTTGTATACGTTTAGTGATGCACACCCAATCACAACAAAGATTGATCAAAGAAACAAGAAAACACTAACCACCCGTGAGGAAAATTATAACAATGTTCTGCAACAGGTTCCCAGAAAAGCATGATATCAGCATAGACAGAACTGTATATAATCTTTCCAAACCGTAACGACTGACCAATCAAAACTATCTTTTCAATTCAGACACTATAACTTTATCTGCTAAGTTATGATATAGACAGTGAGTTCTGTTTTTATAATTGAATACTTGGAATGAGTTCATATACTGTGTGGACATTGTGCTAAATGCTCACATTTTGGGGGGGATATGTAATTAATAATTTATGAACAAGAAAAGTATAGAGTAATCAGTGTCATATGATTTTTATATTTTACATAAAGATTAACCTAATGGCATATCATAAGCTGCATGGATCCTTTCAGTTGTTAAGATGTGTCTCGTTAAATTCTTTTAGTTTCTGGGAAGGAAGTTTTCATTTTGTTCATTTATTCATTTACACAAATGGCACAAGAAGCTGAAGGCAGAGCATCACTCCCTGTCAACCAGTTGACTGTTGAGCACTTGTACTGATTACAGCTGGGTTATTAATGGTACTTGCTAATCAATTGAGCAAGAGGCTAATTTATCCCATACAAACCATAAAATAAAAGGAGGGGTGTGTGTGCTAGCTTCATAACTTTTTCAATCACTGTATTACTCTCACATGGTATTAATCTTCCTATTTTCATTGACATTGTTTTATTTAAGTAATCTTCTTCCAAATTAACCTTTGTTTCATATGATAAACCTTTTCTAAAGGTTGATATTTGCACATTTTGTGAAAAAAAAAATGTTTTTGTCTAAAAAATATTTTCCTATAAGTTTCTATTTTTAGATAATCTGAACATTTTATTCTTGGCCAATGAATCACTTGTGTATATATTTGTTTTCCAAATATGCAGTAATCCCACAGTGATTTTCTGTAAATCCAATAAGTAGATAATTAAATAATGAAAACATGTACTATCATTGATCGTGGTAATTATGTTTTCATGTAAAACATGCCATGATTGCAATTAGAAATGATTAAGTAGCCAGTTAGCCGATTCATTTATATATGTTGTTTAAATCAGATAAGCGGTAAGTCTATGGATTTACAATGTGGTTCGATTCCATGCAGTGGGTGCAGCAGATACTGCAGTGGGTGCAGCAGATACTGCAGTGGGTGCAGCAGATACTGCAGTGGGTACAGCAGATACTGCAGTGGGTGCAGCAGATACTGCAGTGGGTACAGCAGATACTGCAGTGGGTGCAGCAGATACTGCAGTGGGTACAGCAGATAC